GTGCTCTAGACGCTGGATCGGGGTGGGCAAAGGGCCCTCCACAGGTCGGATCCGTCCCGCGGAGGCCCTGCCACTCCCCCAATCAGGGCCTGGGGGCAGGGGAGTGCACCAAGTCTCCTTGCCCCTGCAAGAGCACCTGGCGGCTAGAGAGACACCCAGTTGTTTTAAAACAGCCGCATTTCTCTCTAGCTGCTGCGTGCCTTTGGCAGGGGGTGGGGCGTGCGCGAAGTCTCTTGCGTTCTGTTCCCTGCCCTGCCTGAGGAACGGGGCTGCCTTCTGTTGGCCCTTCTCTGTGCTCTCATGGGAATTGACTTTCCGTTGACAACTGACATCCTAAAGATTTTCCTTGCAGGGTTTGCAAGGTGCCCAGCGGAGATACCGTAAATCAATAGCGCAAGCTCATCCAGGCAGCATTTCCAGTCACATTCAGCAAGCTCTGGGAGGTTCGGCTCAATCCATGGCCTTGGTGGAAGGATGGAACGAGCCACTTTGTGAGCCCCTTTCCACCTCTAATGGGTGGCAACATGGTCTAATGGTCAGTGTGCAGGAATCGGGAGCTCCTCAGTTCCATCCCATCTTGCCAGACTATCTCTGTGACCGGGGGCAAATCCACTGAGGCACCGTGCCTCAGTTTCCCCACGTGTAAAATGAGGCGAATGATCTCCCTCCTACCACCTAGGGTTACGGAGAGGCGAAGTTAGCTGAGAAAAGCAGGTGTGGATTTGTTTCTGTGCCTTCTGTGTGGGCAGAACACTACCTGCCCACCGGGTCTGGGACTATCCAAGCCGCTAAGGGAGCTGGGAACTCGGATCCTATTGAACGCCAATGGGAAATGGGTGCGTAACCCCTTTGAAGGTGCTAGCCCAGGTGCACGGTGCCTAAAATAGAGCCAGTGTCTAACCTTGGGCAAAGCTGACAGCAGCTTTCAGCATGCACAGCAGAGCCCCACGCCGCTGTGCTACCTTGTTGACACAATTGTCGCTGGGTAACCGACAGTCCCACCGGTGTCACGCTTCCTTTATTCTGGGAAGTGATTTGTCCCAAAGTCAGCTCATCTCATTCTCCTTGTTTTTGGCTGGCACGTCACCAGGGCAGGAGTTCCCGTCTGCAGCAAGGCTTGGCAAGGTTTTGTGTCTCCCCACTTCAAAGCAAACGGCACTAGACTGGCTTGAGTACCTCAATCAGATTTGGGAGGGGGACGAGGCATGAGGAGTGGTCAGATCCCACGTCTACATCTGATTTCTTTTTGCTGTCTTATTTCATAGTCCTTGATTTGGTGCATGCAAACGTTCTTGCTTGCCGAGAGATTCCCTGAGGGACAGGCCTTGCTCAGAGATGCACCCACATCTCCATCATGGTGCCATGCCTTCCAGACACCGTCAGGGCACTAAACCAGTCGATTCCAGCCAGTATGTGATTTGGACTGCGCGTACTAGGTGTCACTTTCATATTTTCCCCTGGCGCACGCACTCTGGGTGATATATGAGTCTGATGAGGAGTATGGCTGGCTCTGGAGAACTGTTTTGTATTCACACTGTTCCTTTTTGTGTCCATCTGTCTCTTGCTTGCTTGTTTCTATGATCTAGTCCCCTTTGGGATGGTGCATTCCAGGGCTACTTGTTTTCTTTCCCCGCTCCCCCTTTGCACTGTATTAATTTAAGAATTGTATTAGGATTAGATTTGATAAATTAACCAGTTCTGTGCAAGGCTGTCTACGTTGTGTTTCGCTTTTATGTGCAGTAACAAATGGAGAGAAATGGAGACTTTAGCCTCTCAGGGAGAGGTGGTAATCTGAGTCAGTATTAGTGCAGCTACTTAATTAAAAGGCTTCTTAATCGTGCTGTGTGAAGGGACTTGAGCAAGGGGATTTAGCTGGTTTAGGGGATTGGTAATCGGATATGGGCTCTTTCACCTTTAGGTGACTTGCTCAAGTAGAAGTTGTGGCCAGAAATTGTCGGCCTTTCATGTGGTCAGTGGCCCATGTGAAATAAATGGGCACGGTGCCATTTCAGGTTAATCAGACTTCCCTGTCACTAGACAAACCAGTCATGATGGAACGAGGCTGAAAGATGCCCCTCTCAGTCAAGGCATTGGGCAGGACGGGAGATCCTGGTTTAACTCCTGTTTCTGCCTCACTCTGACAAGTCACCTCATTGCCCTGTGCCTCAATTTCCCATTTTTCCAAGATGCTCTTCAGATTGCCTGTCTCCCATGCTGTGGGCTGTCTCTGTAGCCTGGAAGCTCTTTGGGGCAGGGGCTGTCTCTTGCTCTGTGTATGCGTACAGGGCCGAGCACAACAGGGTTCTGATCTCCTCCTTTCGGGCCTCAAAGCGGGAGCCCAATATAAATACAAGCCTGCAGCAGGAGGAGTTTGCACCGTTTCACTGTGAACAAAAAAGAAAAGTTTTCAAGGCTTTTTGCCTCTGCGTTTTCTAACTCACCTGTAGAAGCTGGGATAGTGTGGGACAAAGGGCAGATTTTCCTACAGTAGTAATAATTAATACATAAATCTAATACATATTTAGAATCTTTGTTACTGTATAATATAACAAAAATATTGCTCCTGCTTTTGCTTCTTTCTCTTGGAAATAAAGTTGAAGCAAAACTGGACTCGTTAGTGTGAAAACCTCAAATGTCAGGAATTCATTTAAAAGCAACAAGTAGTCCTGTTGAAGTGGATTTCATGGGTTTTACCCGCGAAAGCTCATGATCCTCTATATTTTTTGTGAGTCTCTAAGGTGCCACAGGACCTCTGGTTGTTTTTAAAGTTACAGACTAACATGGCCACCCCTCTGAGGACTTAGTTTGGAAATAGAAACTGGGTCCAAACCACTTCTGGTTTGATTCTAACCCAACTTTGGCACCTTTTACCCAAGGGCCGCAAATCAATTGACAAACATTGATGAATTAAGTGAATCTCACAGCAGCCTTGTTTGCTGATGGGGGAAACTGAGGCACAGAAGAGTGACATGACTGGCTTAAGGCTGCACAGAATCCCCAGCAGAGCCAGGACAAAGCTTAGTGATGTCTTTAACCGAGGCTTTCTCCAGTGCTAGCAAACTGAGTAGCTTTACCTTCACCTGGCTCCACCCAAAAACAAACAAACAAAAAAACACTCTGGAAGAGGGGGGAGGTGTTCAGGGAATAGATGGAAAGACATTTGTCTTGAACACTTGGAGACCATGGAAATGCAGATAGACGCAAGGCAGTAGGATAAATCAGATTTGTTAGTATCAGTCTCCAATCAACTTCATAGATCCTCCAATGTCCATCAGCATAAGCCTTTGAGGTAGGATCAGGAAAAACAGGGGAGCCCATTCCTTTAGCTCTAGTGTGCCTGTCACCCCATCGGCTTACTCTTAAAGGTCCCGATTCTGCATGCGTGAAGACCCATGGGACTTTTCTCCACTGAGTTTGGTGGAGCAGGCCTGGACCGAATGCATCTTTCGTGTACCGGCCATCCTCACTATAAGTCCAAGAGGCGTTCCAAAAAACTTGGACATACAGTGAAACCACTTAAAGCTGTGATTTTTCTTCCCCACAGCCGACTTCCATTTGTGCAAATTGGGGTTTATTTGGTATGACTTAAGAGTGGGGAATGGGAGGACTTATAACGCATCACTTCCTACAAGCATTAACGATTTCAGTGTGGAACGGATGTATACCTGGGCGACTTATAGCAGGGATGCCCTGTAACCCTAATATCCCTGTTATCCATAAACACAAGGCTTCCTCATTAATGGCTGGTCCCGTGGATAGGACGTTGAAATAAGAAGTGGAAGCCTCGTGATTGTCCCTGGCAATGAGAACGGAATGCATGGCACGCCTCAGACGCACCGGGCAGCATCAAGCTGCCTTTTACTTGCAGTGAGAAGATGGATTGTTGTAGCTTTTCTTCAATTACCCATTTTCACAGGAGTGTTGTATGTAGAGGCCTTTGCATCCTTCCCCACTCACCTGATTGGCTGCCTGCCAGTAGCTTCTGTGAATGCAGATGTCTGTATCAAAGGGGTTTGGGACGCAGTTGTTGATAGAAACATTGTTTTGTAGAAGGGGAGGAGGCCTTATTGACTCAGGGAGCACAACCCTGCAAAGCGGGAACAAATCCAAGCCCAGAATCTTCAGGAATCCTCTGGATGTTTAAATGGACTGTAATTGGTTTCTCCCTCTGGCACTGTTGAGGAGAGGCCTTGTGTCTCTCTGGTACAAGGTTACAGAGGGAACATTGGCATGGGTCATGGAAATGGGCCTAAATCCCCAAAGTCAGACCGAACTCAGCATTTCAGGTCTGCCTCTTCAAGTTCACAGGTGTTCAAGGTGGAGATTTTTGTATAGAAAACAGGGCTAGCCGTAGAATTGGAGCTGGACTGTCCCAGGGTGTCTGTGTTACAAACCATGGCGGCATGCAGGCAACAGGAATCCAACCCTTAGTCCTCAGCACCTCACACATAAGCTCCTGCCCTGGGAGCTGATGGAGCAACTCCTTGCATTTTGGGCCATGTGATTTTTTTTTTTTTTGCAACCTTTTATTTTCAGTGTGAACATGAGAGGTTCTGCAGTCCCCCAGTGCATTCCTTTGCCTGCATTTCCCAAGGGTCCCTGAAAACCTGCAAGGATTCCAGAGCTTTTAGTTTGGTCCAGGTGATCTCCTTAGGGTTGCAGATTTCCTTAGGGAAGTCAAATGATGCCACAGGGGCCTGTCAGACCTCACACCCTGCCCCTCAAGGTCCGATGTCTGTCTTGCTTGGAGTCCTCTGAAGGTTTGTGGGTCTCACAAGGGCTGTGTACCTGTTCTGGTTTCCCATTTGGACCCCAAGAGATCTGGCTTTTGCAAACAGTGGGCAAAGACCCATCCAAATAGGATGCTAAACTGTTCTCTCTCCATTCTGATCTATCTCTACATTTGTAAGGTAGCTTTCAAGCGAGCCACTGAATATCTCAAATCGGGGCATAGAAACCTGTATGAGTATCTAACTCTCCGTTTTTTTTCCCTGTTGCAGCTGGTCCTGGCTGAAAGCTCTCACTCTGACACAGGCTCCCAGTGCACTGAAAGCCACACGGACCTCCCTCCTCCCATCGAGAGAACGGGTGGCATCGGAGACTCGCGGCCTCCCTCATTTCAGTAAGGCCATGCTATTCTTGTTAATCAAGGGATGCAAAAGACTTGCCTGTCACCTCCCTCCTCCTCCTCTCTTCCCTTCCCCCAGGCTCTCAGCACCCTGTGTTTGGTGCGTCCCACCTTTTTATTTATTATTTTTACAACTCTGGGCTCATTAGAGCTGCGGAATAAAAGGAGGGACGGAAAGGAAAAAAAATTGATTATTCAAATGACATTAACATCCTATTGCTTGTCATTATGGAACCCACCTTGGTGGGAGAGAAGAGGAGGAATGTAAATGCTTTTTGTGGCATATAGATGACAACTGTTTATTACTGCATTCCATATAATTATGTAGCACACACAGGCAGCAGAGCATTATTATAAAGAGCAGCAATTTGCATAAGGAATAATGCTCCCCGCCCCCCATGCTGTCACTCTGCCTGTGTGTAAAGCAATGTGCGTTGGTGGGTTAGCAGCCTTGTTACCCGCAGCTGTATGTACGGGGCCCAGTTGTGATCCGGACCACGGTATTTTGTACTGCTCGATTCCAGGGAATGGCAAGAATTTCCCCCAAAGAGTAGCTGTGCTGGAGAGCTGAAATTCTGCCTCATCATTTTAGATTTGGTCCTGAACTGAAACCCCAGACCTGCGCAGTCCTGAATTTGGTTTGTGAATTTTGCTGTTGTTTCCTTTCCCTGTAATCCAGTGACTCCGACTCCCAAACCCAGACCTAGAACTGCCTCCCTGTGCACTCATCCTTTGGGGGGGGGTTGGACTTTGGATCTGAATTTTGGACCTCACCATTTGGCAATGGAGTGGATTCCTCTGTCATGTCTGATGCATGTAGACGTGCCGGACTAGTTAAATGGACAGGAATGTGAAGTGATGTTTTCCTCAAGGTCAAGTTAGTACTAGCATCACAACTAAAAGGCAAAGTGCTGGACTCCCAGACCGTTCTAACCCCCATACCACACTACTTCCTGGAAGTGGGATCAGAGCCCAGGAGTTCTGATTCCTGTCCCCCTTGCTCTGACCACTAGACGATACTGCCTCCCTTCAGAAAAGCAGAAGCCGTCGGTCTCGCGTGCGGTCACTCCCAGGGTTATCCAGCTCAGAATTCAGCGCCGTTTCTCTCCCCAAATTAATCCGTCCTGCCTGATCAAGTGGACAACCTGCTGTGCAAAACCCTTGTGTTTGCCCATTTATTCTCTGGGCTTCCAAGTCAGCTTCTCCTTGGACTATGTAGCACTTTAAAGACTAAGAAGATGGTTTAATAGGTGATGAGCTTTCGTGGGCAAGACCCACTTCCTCAGATCAGGTCTGGCCCACGAAAGCTCATCACCTATTAAACCATCTTCTTAGTCTTTAAAGTGCTACATAGTCTGATCTTGCTAAAACAAAAGGAAAAACTAACACAGCTACCTCTCTATTACTATTCTCCTTGTGCCTGGCAGGAGCACAAAGCCACAATAGCAGGCAACACCTGGGGCAGAGGGGCCAGCAGCTGTTCCATTGGCTGCTCTGCCGACCTGGCCCCTTGCACCTGGCTGTTCGATGCCAGCTTGAACAGGTACCCGGTACAGGGGAGAGGAGCGGAGCCTCGGTGCTGGCCAGCCAGTGGCTCAGTATTCAAAGAGGGGAAACTCCGTCTCCTTTCCAGCTGTTTTCACGTTCCTGCCTCCTTCCCCCACCCCTGCCTTCTGGGATGTCTGTTGCCTGGGAGAGCCCGTTATTCTGGGGGGGCTAGATGGGCAACAGGCTAGGGATGCAAATATCTAACCGGGTAACTGGTAAGTCTCACCCTTAACGAGTGAGGCTTATCAGTTAAGGTTAACTGGTGGGCTGGAGCAGCCCCTCCTGCCGTGCGGGGGACACTGTGGGGGGACACAAGCTGGAGCCCCCCCCCACCTACTCTCCCCTTTAATCCATTAATCAGCTAAACAAATGATTAGCCAACGAAATGGGATTTTGCATCCCTTAAAGAGGCTAAGCTTCCCGCTGCCTGCTGGAGGGGACAAGAAATACCAGGCAGACTGGCCTGGCCTGTGGTGCTTGCATGGGCTGTGCTGCCCTCTTGTGGCCAAGACGTGCGCTCTGCATGGGCGAGGAGCCTGCCCAGTTGCAGTCACATGACCTGCGGGCATAATAAGCTCTTTGTCTTCCCGACCTATATACAGAACTGTGGGCTGGGCTCTGGAGGGTTTAAATGGGATTTTCAAGCCCCCCCCCCATCCAACACCAGGCGCAGGGTCGCTCGTGCCACACATCCCCTGGTGTTTTAAGGATGTCGTTTTATTCAGCACGGCTCTTCTCTGGTGCCCGCTGCCGCCAGTTGAATCCTTGGCACTTAGTCAATGCGGTGGCGTGCTTCCCTGGGAGGCAGAGGCTGATAGCCCCATTTTGCAGCTGGACATACTGAGGCACCACAAGGCGACATGGCTCCCAGGCTTGCGTTCTCCCTGCTATACAAGACTTGCTGCGGCTGCACACAGAGGTGTTTTGAACAGACAGCCCCGTGGAGAACTCAGGGGTGGAGGGACAATGCAAGTGTCTGGTTTCCTTGGGCCAGTGGAGCAAGGGCCTAATGAGGCTGCAGTGGGGTAGGCGGCTGTGGGAGTAGCTGAGGCAAGGGGAGCTGTTGAGTGTGTGGCCCATCACCGTGTACGTTTGCTTGCTCCTGCTGCCGGGAGAGCAGGTCCTTGCTGGGGCTGGCCTCAGGAGAGAGGGAGAGCATAGGCACTTTGGCCAGCCGCTGAAGAGATGAGCCTGGGGAGAAAGTGGTACGCTTGCTAGAAGTTGGTAGATGAATTGGTTTAAGTGTGAGCTAGCCCCTGGCTATATCCGAGTTCTTCCTCTGAAGTACCATAAGACAGTTCTGTGGCAGTTCAGTCACAATCTGTAACCAATATTTCCTCTAATCTTTTGCATCCCTGTGAGGAATTTTTCCAGCATTGTGTGGAATAAATTTTTCCATGTGCACCTAGACGTGCAAATGTGCACCACCAATAGCAACACAAAACCAAGCTGTGGGCACTCTGCTAATCATCTGGGCAGCATTTGAATCTCTCGTGAGCAGCCGCATGAGTGCATGGCTTACTGCTTGTAACTGACAGATCTCTGCACTCGCGCTTTGCTGGCTGGCCTGGGATTCCGCTTTCATCCCAGGCCAGTAGTCCTCTGCAAGGGGAAGGCCTTCAAGGGTGGAAATTGCTCCCTCTTGATACCCATGTCAGTTCCTCTTTTTCCACTTGACTCTATTTCATAGTCCTAGGTGTTAAGGCTGGTGGTGACTTATCTGATCCTCTTCTCTGACCACCTGCCTAGCAAAGTCCAGAAAACCTCACCCAGTGACCTCTGTCTCGGGTCCAAACTTCTGCTTAGCTAAAACAATCTTGGAGAAAGACACCCCACCTTGATTTCAAAAGCCTGCAAGTGCTGGAGAGCCCAACACACCCCATGGTAAATTGTCCCAGTGGATAATCATGCTCACTGCTAAGAGGCTGTGCCATGTTTCTGTTCTGAATTTGATAAGAGACTGCTTCCAGACACTTTTTGCTAGATTAAAGAGCCATCAGCTATCAGACATCTCTGCCCCACATAGCTACTTGTAAACAATAGGCATGAAAAAAGTGTAAAAATATCGTGAAACTGATCAAAATTGTATCAGTTACACGGGGCTGCAGGCAGCCAGCTCCTGGCCCACGCAGAACTTAAGCATTAACGGTAGCTAATAAGCACCAGTGTATCGGTTAGCTGGTTAAACTCTTACCCCCTACTAGACAGCAATAAAGTCACCTCCAGCTTTCGCTTGGATCAATGAAATAGACTGAGCTTTTGAAGCCGCTTGCAATAAGGGGCGTGTTCCAGATCTTGTCCCTCTTCTGGACTCTCTCTAATTTTTTAAAATTTTTCTTAGAGTGGACACAAGAACGGGATACAGTATTCCAGGAAAGGTCTTGCAAATGCCATAACTCTTCTCTGCCCACTCGTACTTGATATCCGCCTGCTTATACACCTGAGGTTTGCATTCACTCAGTTAGCTACAGCCTTCCCTGGGAGCTCACGGGCAACTAGTGATCTGTCATGACCCCCAGATCTTTTTTCAACCTCCCTACATTCCAGGACTCCTCCTCCCCCACCTCTAATCTTACAAACTGCAACCTGCATTCTAGGTTCCTTTCACAGGTGTTTGTTTTAGCATGACCACCATGGGGGGCCTATATCTGTTGCTTCTCTTTTCCCTCCTTTTTTCTGGGTTCCCCTGTGTGCTAGGTGCTGTACAGACACAGAACAAAAGGACAGTCACTGTGCCAAGGAATTTTCAATCCCAGTCCGAGATGAGATATGGTAGATACAAGTCCTCAGATGGGTTGGTGGGTGGCACAATAATGAGATAATACTGGTCAGAATAATTAGCAGCACCCCGGCTCCCTAATCATTTGTGAGGTGTGGGGAGGGTGGGTTGTCCCATTCCAACACCCTTATTTGTTTTTGGCTGAATTCAATAAAGTTCTATTTTTCTGATGCTTTTCATTCCATTTGAATGGCGTTCTGTGGCAACATAAGCAGCTCCATGAGGGCAGAAATAACATGTTGCTTTTGTGTGTCATTGATTCAACTGATGGGAGGCAACTCAGGAGGCCTGGCAATTCCCTGCACTGCCACCGACTTCCTCTGTGACCTTGGGCAAGTCACTTAGTCTCTCCAAGCCTCCGGACTTGTCTACACGATCACTTAAGTCAATATAACTTACATTGCTCCGGGATGTAAAAAAGCCATTCTCTTGGGCGATGTATGTGACATCAACGTAGAGCCTGTTGAAGTGGGTTTTACTCATGAAAGCTTATACCTTAATATAGCGGTTCCCAACCACTAGTCCGTGGACTGGTGGCAGGCTGTGAACCTCTCTGACAAGCTGCCACATGTTGCCAGGCCATGCCCTTAGCATTTATTTAGTCCCGCCCCCTGGGGTTCACAGGGAATTCCCTTCTGCATCACACGGAGCAACAGGGTGAGTGGGG